GGCTTTGCGGTGTCGTCTGCCCTTCCCTGTTCAGCCCTCCTCTGAGCTCCGCACTTCCCGCCCTCCCACCGTGCTTTTAGCCCCTCCAGCTGTTTCCCCGCCGCGGCCGGCCGCCGTTTTGGGGTACTGTTTCCGGGTTAGGGTGACCCCTGGGGTGAGGGAACGGCGATTGGGAGTGGGCCCTGGGCGCTGCCCTCACCATGCCGCGCTCAAACGTGGGATATCGGCCCGTGCGACGCCGGCCCGGAAACCCCTGCGACCCCATATCCGCCCCCCGTAGGGAAATTTGTCCGTCCTTGTGTCCTTCTTCTACGGACCTGGCTCCTTCCCAAGCAGATTTTTTCCAAAATCCAAATCCCAGCCCAGCCGGCACCCTCTTCCAGCGATTTAGAGCGATTCACAAAACTGCATGACATCGGATTGGTTAACTTGAAAACGCTCTTGTTTTTCTCATCTGTACAGTGGGTATGATCTTGGTTTTCATCAGCCAGTTTCAGGTGGGTAATCTGAAGTTATAAAGCATTTTAGTTATGAAACTCCTTTCCTTTGAGTCATTCTGGAGACCTTACTCTGCCTTTGTAAGACATATTTGAGGGCCTGACTTTGAGTTCCCAGAGATGGCACTAATAATGTTCGACTTAGAACCCGTTCTCACATTCTACTTGTAGTTCCCCTTTTCTTACCGCTACCCAGCTTCGGTTTTTGAAATCTAAGTGAGTTCAGGTAAATTTTGTTTTTGGAGCCTGTGATATTCCTTAACCTACTTAGAGAGTTACAAAGTTAATTTAAGGATATTCCGTGCCATATTATTAGGTAATATGGTTTTTCAAAGTTTGGTGTTAAAAAATTTTGAAATGTATAGTTTTAGAAATATAGAAATTTATGACTTGTTTATTCCAGTGTGTACCAACATAGATTTTAGCTTGGCTTGTTTAACAAATTGTAATACAGTGACTCTACGGAAAGGATCTCGCCAGAAGTTTACATGGAATTACAGGGAGGAAAGATACATTTAACCTTTCAGTTTCTAATACTGAATTGTTTTAAAATTGTTGGTGACTCTTTTTCGCTTGACGTAGCTGAGGTGTCATTCCTATTTCCTAGAGATGTCATTTCTCCAAAAGCCCTAAGGATTGATTGCTTCGTGGTTCTGAAATTTATTCTGCTATCTCTCAAGTTTTGTATTTTCCTAGTTATTTTTAAGGACATTTTAATTTTAAAATTAGATTGTATTAGCATTTCTCAGTTCTATAAAATATTTCGAAGCAACCACAGTGCAAGTTAGCCCAAGATGCATGCATTGAGTTAATGATCTAGAGGGCATTTCAAAAATCAAACAGGCAATAAGTATAAAATTAAAGATTTCTCAAATGGAATATGATGTGGAGAGAGCCTGAGCTTTGAGGTCAGTCTCTAAATCCTGTGTGAGTGAATCTGAGCTTCACTGTCAGCCTCATCTATTAAAAGAGAATAGTGAAACTTACCTTCTTTATTCTTAGGATACCAGTGAGGTGATAGAACATACATTGTCTAGAACTATGTCCTGAACATACTGACTGCTCAAAGAATGTTAATTTCCCTTCATTCAACAGATAATTTGAATCACCTGCTATAGCATTGGCTAAGACTTAGAAATACTAAACAGTAAGACCGATGGGGGGGTCCAGCCTGTGTTGTCCCTTGCATTGTCAGATGTCTTATTAGCATAGTTTTAAATAGCTTTGGGGGCTATATTAACATAATAAACTGCACATATTTAAAATATAAAATTTGATTAATTTTCATGAATATGTACACACCTGTGAAACCGTCACCATAAACAAAATAGTAAGTATGTCTATTAGCTCCAAAAGTTTACTTATGCTCTTGTACTGCATCCTTCTCATCCTTCCCTGCCTCATTCCCAAGGTATCACTGGTTTACTTTCACTATAGATTTGTTTTTATTTTATAGAGTTTTTAAAAATATATGGAATCATATACTTTTTTGTCTGGCTTCTTTCATTCAGCGTAATTATTTTGAGATATAGTCATGCTATTGCTTACTATAGTAGTTCATTCCTTCTTATTGCTGAGTAGTAGCCTATTGTATGTTTATACCACAATCTGTTTATCCGTTCACATGTCGATGTATATTTGGGTGGTTTCCAATTTGGAGCTATTGTAAATAAAGCTAGTTTTTTTAGTTTTAGGTCTATGCTTTCATTTATCTTGGGTAAATTCCTAGGAGTAGAACAGCTGGATCATATGGTACATGTTTGTTTAACTTTGTAAGAAACCACCAACTGTTTTCCAAAGTGACTGCACCATGTTGCATTCCCACTACCAGTGTATGAGAGTTATAGTTGCTTTCCATCCTCACTGGTATTAAGTATACTCGTTATATTTAATTTGAACCATTCTAATAGGTGTCTAATAGGTGTGTTAAGTTTAACTGTGGTTTTAATTTTAATTTCTCTGATTAATGATGTTGACCACAGTTTCATGTACTCATTTACCATTGTATTTCTTCTTTTGTGAAGTGTCCATTCAGACATTTGCCCATTTTAAATTAGGTTATTTGTTTTCTTACTGAATTTTGAGAGGTTTTTATACATTCTGGATACAAGTCTGGATACAGTTACATGCTTTGCAAAGATTTTTCTCCCAGTCTGTGGCTTGTTTTTTCATTCTCTTAACTATATTTGAATTGTAGAAGTTTTTAATTTTGATGAAGCTCAATTTATCAGTTATTCTTTAATGGATTGTAGTTTGGGTATCATACCTAAAAAATCTTTGTCTAGCACAGAGTCAGAAAGATTTTATCCTATTTTTTTTTTCTAGAAGTTGTATAAACTTTTAGGTCTTATATTTAGGTCTGTGATCTATTTTGACTCCTTTTTGTAAATGGTGAGATATGAAGTTCTTCTTTTTTGCATATGGATATCTAGTTTTTCCAGCACTATTTGTCAAAAAGACTATCCTTTCTCCACTGAACTGCCTTGACATCTTTGTCAAATTTCAGTTGCCTGTGTGTGGATCTGTTTCTCTACCTTCCTATCCATTAGCGAGGTGTAGCCTTTCATTTATTTGTATCTTCTTCAGTTTCTTTTTTCAGTGTGTTGTAGTTCGCAGAATACAGTATTTTATGCTTCTTGATGCAGTTGTAAATGGGATTATTTTCTTCATTTCTTTTTCTTATCGTTCATAACTGGTGTGTAGATACACAGCGGATTTCTGTATTTTGATTCCGTATCCTGCAACGTCACTGAATTCAATTTTATTTATCTTTTCAAAGAACCATCTCAGTTTTATTGGTCTTTCTATTATTTTCTTTTTAAATTTCTGCTTCATTTATTTTCACTCTTTAACTATTTTCTTCCTTCTGTTTACTTTGGGTTTTGTTTGCTCTTCTTTTTATAGTTCTTTTAGGTGTAGAGTTAGATTGTTTATTTGAGATTTTTCTTGTTTCTTGAGGTAGGCCTATATACGTATGAACTTCCCTCTTAACACTGCTTTTGCTGCATCCCGTAAGTCTTGAAAAGTTGTATTTTTATTTTCATTTGTTTCAGGATAGTTTTTGATTTCCTGTTTTATTTACTCTTTGATCCATTTGTTGCTTAGTAGCATGTTGTTTAGTCTCCATATATTTTTTTTCCAATTGTCTTCCTGTAGTTTATTTCTAGTTTCATGCCATTGTGGTTGGAAATTATTGTTGATATGATTTTGGTTATCTTGAATTTATTAAGGCTTGTGGTCTAATATGTTATTCATTCAGGAGAATGTACCATTTGCACTTGGAAAAAAAATGTGTATTCTGCTGTTTTTGGATGAAATGTTTTGTTAATGTCTTTTAAGTCATTTTAGCCTAATGTGACGATTAAGGCTTTTATTTACTTATAATTTTCTTTTTGGATGATCTATCCACTGATGTGAGATGATAGTTAGAGAAGACCCTTTAACATTTCTTGTAAAACTGGTTATGGTGATGAACTCTTTTAGATTTTGCTTGTCCGGGGAAACTTTCTCTCTCCTTCAATTTTGAATGATAACCTTTCTGAGTAATTTATTCTAGTTTGTAGGTTCCTTTCTTTCAGCACCTTAAAGATGTCTTGCCACTCCCTTCTGGCCTATAAAGTTGCTGCTGAGAAATCAACTGATAGCTTTATGGGGTTTCCTTTGTATGTAATATATTGTTTTCCCCTTCTTCCTTCAAGATTGTCTCTTTAGCTTTAACTGTTGCTTTTTTAATTACCGTATTTCTGGTGTGGGTCTCTTTAGTTTCATCTTGTTTGGGACTCTTTGTGCTTTCTGGACCTGGGTACCTGTTTCCTTTCCCAGCTTAGGAAAGTTTTCAGCCATTATTTCTTTAAATAAAGTTTCTGTTCCTTTCTCTCTTCTTCTGGGATCCCTCTAATGCAAATGTTTGAGTGCTTGATGTTTTCAGAGGTTCCTTAAACTATCCTTGTTTTTTTTAATTCTTTTTTCTTTTTGTTGTTTTGATTGGTTGATTTTCACTAGTCTTTCAGGTTGCTTATCCGTTCTTCTGTATTAGTTAATCTGCTGTTGATTCATTCTCATGTATTTTTTTATTCAGTTATTGTATTCTTACAGCCTGTTTCATTCTTTAGTATACTTTCTCTTTGTTGAAGTTCTCTATAAGTTTCTCTATTTTACTCTCAAGTTTGGTGAACATCTTATGATCATATCTTTGAATTCTTTATCAGGCAAATTATTTATCTCTGTTTCCTTAGAGGTGTTTTTTTGTTTTTGTTTGTTTGTTTGTTTTTCCTGGAGATTTCTCTTGTTTGAGAGAGATTTTTATTTTAATTTTGTTTGACTTTCTATGTTTGGTTATATAAATTATACAAAACATCTTTCTCTCCCAGTCTTGAAAAAGTGGCCTTATGTGGAAGAGGCCTCTGTGTAGGTCGTGTGTGCCAGGTGGTGCTGGCAGGGTGGTAGTAGCTGAGAGGGTGCCTGAGGCATCCAGGGCACTGGCCCACCAAGCTGGACTGTCTCCAGGTGGGGAGGCCAGGTGTGTGCAGTAATGCTTTGTTGATCCTGTTGGTTGCCTTTGTTCAGAGCTGAAATGGGCTCAGGCAATGTGTCTGGAAATGCGCTGCAGCGACCTTTCAGGTAGGCCAGAGCACTTCATTATAGCCCCCACCCACTCTGTGGAGGTGGAGGGGGACATAAACAGTGACACTGTGCAGCACCTCCAACCCTAGAGAATTTCCAAAGTCCTGGAGAGTTCCATGGCCCCCAGCCATCTCTGTAGTCTCTCTCCTGTTTGTCGTACAGAAAGTGGTCTTGTGTGGAAGAGACCTCTGTCTAGGCTTTATGTACTAAGTAGTTTGAGGAAGCTGGTTGGAATCAGGCAGGTGCGTAGGGTGCCTAGGGTGCCTAGGGCACTGACCTGCAGAGCTGGAGTGGCTCCATGCAGGAAGGCCAGATATGTATGGTGATGCCTTGTTGTTCTTGCTTGCTCCCTTTGTTGGGAGGCAGAAGGCTCTAGGAAGTATAGCTGCAAATGAACTGCTGTGATTTTGCAGGTAGGCCAAAGAACCTAAATAGAGTTCCTCAAAGTGGAGGGCAGAATAGACAATTGAACTCTCCTCTGTCCCAGAGAGTTCTTACAGCTCCTGAGGGCTCCCATGGCTTCCTGGTCTTCTCTGTTTAATCTTTCTTCTGTTGTTCAGAAGCCGTTCATTCAGCCCTCAGTTGTTGTTCAGGAGTCACTTGTCTGTATATATGTATATTTGAGTTTGCTCATAGAACAAGGTAAGTTCCATGTCCTATGCCCCTGCCATATTGGACCTCCCGTGATTTGCATTTTAAGTTTACCGTGTTATATTTGTGGTTAATAAAAAAAAAGTAAAAAATATGTCTGATTTTCACAGTTTATTGTAGGACTTTTCGGTTTGGCATCAGAGCAGGAGTATACCTTGTGAAATCAACTTAATACATTTATTTTTGTGTTTTTTCCACAGATTTTGATTCCCACCATGGCAATCACACAGTTTCGGTTATTTAAAGTTTGTACCTGCTTAGCAACAATATTCTCATTCCTTAAGAGATTAATATGCAGGTAAAGAAATGTTATGTTCAAATTTACTTCTTTATTTTCTTTCTGGTTTTGGGTACAATCATCACTTTATAAAACAGCAAGACAGACTATATTTAAACTATCTTGATTGTCATATTCATTTATTAATTTCTAGTATTTTTTAAATATTTTTTCTCTACTTCAGATCTAGAACATAAAGGTTCACTTCTGTTTTTTCTTTCAAATTCTTACATCGTCTATTAAAATAACATTTTTAGTAGTATAGAATTTCAGAAATAAACAAATTGACTTTAATTATTATAATCATTAGAGAAGTTTTATGTATGTAATTTTTTCATTATCGGAATGTCTTAAAATAGGTATTAGGCATAGGTATTTCTTTATAGACTACAATATGAATGTTATTTCTATATTTTAAAAAAATTTAACAGAGAAACCCCAAATAATATTTTCTTTTTAGTCTCTTAAATAATATGCCAGGATGTGCAGGTAGCCCAGAGCAGTTAAGTCATTCTGCTTCATGCTTCAGTAAGTCATCTAGAGATGGGAATTCTTTCTGTTTTGTCACACTTCTGTACCCAAGAGCTATAGTTCCTAAACTGTGTGCTAAGCACTTCGGTGCTTTGTGTTAAACTCACAGGAATACCATAAGATTTTTAAAAATTTCTAGCAAAACACAGCAAATATGATACTCAACATCTTTTAAATGCTGCACAAGCTATTGACTCAAAGTAGTTCACATTTGCAGCATTAGATGCTGGAGCAGTATTTTTGAAGATATTTTTGAATGTTTGAGGTAACTTTTTGTTTACTTGTGTTTTTGGTACCCTATCTTTGCAAAGCTAGGATTTTAGGTTGTATGTAAAAGCAACTACTAAACCAAAATTCATACGGGACAGAAAATGAGATTGGTGGTATTCAATCTGATTCCAAGGATTGAGAAGCTGTGCAGTGTCCAAAAGGCATTCACATTCCATTAGTAACTAATTATTGTCACTTAAGAATGAAATAAAATATTATTTTTTCTTTAAATTTATATGAAGTATTTTTTCAAATGGCTCCTAAGCAGTTAAGACATACATGGTATTAAGCTGTCTGGGCCTAACTACCTGGTCAATGGAACAATTGAGTATTACTTTTAGCCTAGGGGTCCTGTGAAAAAGTACTGACACACTGAGTGTAGTAGGGTAGAGTAAAAGAGGAAATAGAGGACAACCAGCTCTCTTTTTTTAATGGACTTGATTTAGAAATTGCACAGAACAATTCTGATCTCAACTTACTATCCAGAGCTTAGTCACTTATGACCATCTAGCTGCAAGGGAGGCTAGGAAATGTAGTCTCTGGCAAAATGGCCATTTTATGGCAATGGGAATAAGTGGACATGATCACAGAAGTCAAGAAAGAAAGGGAAAATTTAGGTGATTGTCGAAATCATCCAGGAGAAGGACAGGATTTGGGAAGTAGGAAGAAAGTGAATCAAGTACTTAAAATCATTAAGAGCATGAGGACAATGGTCAGAAATTCACTAGGTAAAAACAGGATAAGAATGGATGTTAATTAGTTATGGTTCGTATATACAATAGAATATTACTCAGCTATTAAAAAAATGAAATCCTACGATTTGCCATAACATGGATGGACCTAGAGGTTATTATGCTGAGTGGAATAGGTCAGACAGAGAAAGACAAATACCATATGATTTCACTTATATGCGGAATCTGAGGAACAAAAAGAACAAACTAATCAGAAACAGACTCACGAATATAGAGGACAATCTGGTGAGTGCCGGAGGTGAAGCAGGTTAGGGGGCAAGGAGAATGGGATGAAGAGTTAAAGTAGTACAAATTAGTAGCTGATAGATGGTCCCAGGTATGGGGAGCACAGTATAGGGAATGCAGTCAGCATTGATGTAATGGCTAGGTGGAGAGCCAGAGGAGAGAAAGAGGGCTTAGATCATTTTATAAACTATATAAATGTCCAAATAATGTATTGTATACTTCAAACTAATAAAATTTAAAAAAATATTTTTCAGGGAAAAAAAAGAATGGCTATTAATTGCCAGAAGGTCAGAGGTTAAAAGAAGTAGTTGTGTTACAGTGGTGATAATTACAGCTGTTTTTCTCTTTGAATCTGTATTTCCTAAAACTTCTATTGAATATAGGTTACTTTTAGTATAAGAAATTGAATTTGATTTAAAAAATGTTAAGGACATTTCTGTTGTCACATAAATATTTTTTCCTTTTTTCTCCCAGTTTTATTGAGATATAATTGACATATAACGTTGTACCATTTCAGGTATACAACATAATGATTTGATGTATGTATGTATATGCAAAATGATTACCACAATACGTTTAGTTAACATCCATCACCTCACATAATTACAGTTTTTTTCCTTGTGATGAGAACTTTTAAGGTCTACCCTCTTAGCAACTTTCAAGAACACAGTAAACCCTGTTGTCACATAAAGTTTTATTGTCTGTAAATATATGTAGAATTGATTGTATGTTTAGTTATTAAGAAGATTAACCCTCTTTTAGAATAAGCTTTTCTTAAGTGTCAGAAAGAACCTAGATCATATATTCTAAAATAACAGGTTTATATCATAAATTTAGCAGTAAACTTTACTTTTCTATTTATCGTTAAAACAAATAAAATATGATTTCTAATCTTGTAATAAAAATAGCTAACTTTACCAGTTAGCTCTTAGATGCTTTATAGATTATTTGTAATTAAGCGAGTGACTGATCATTTACAAATAGTTACTTTTTTAAATATCTTGTTATATAGCAGGCACTGTCTAAGTATCTGGCTGCTTTAAATATGTCACTTAATTAAATCCTCACAACAACCCTACAAAAGTAGGTTTCAGTACCTACTTTTTACAGATGAAGATATTGAGGCTGAGAGGTTAGGTAATTCCAATTAGACTCATAATTAATGGAAGTAACAGTGAAAATCGTGGTTTACACAGATTCTATAGCCTATGTTTTTCACAGCAGAGTTACAATACTTGTCTTGTTTAATATAACACTTTTCCTACTAATCGTTAAAACTTACTAGGTACAATTAGTTCAGCCTAGTGATTTTCCAACTTCTTATTGGCTTAATAGGTAATCTTACCAAGAAACCAAATATGTAAAAGAAAAGCCAAGCCACCCTGGTTAAAACATTGTATGTGTGCCAGAGCTTCACATACAGAACTCATAGTACTCGAAGGACCATGGTTTGAAACCACTTTGCATGTTCTTTTTTGGCTTTATATTCCTCCTGAGTTTGTCTGTAATTTTGAGTCCTAAGCCAAAAAGCAGTTATGTTGTCTGGTCCAAGATTTTAAAAACATTTAAAAGATACCTGATACTTGCCTTTTCATTTCATATCTTAGTGAACAACTGTTAATAAATAATTCTAAAGTTGAAAAAAATAAATGAATGGAACTGTATCAAACTAAAAAGCTTCTGCACAGCAAAAGAAACCATCAACAAAACAAAGAGGCAGCCAACTAATGGGAGAAGATATTTGCAAACAATGACTGATAAGAGGCTAATATCCAAAATATACAAAAGACTCATACAGCTCAACAACAACAACAACAAAAAAATCCCATTAAAAAATGAGCAGAGGACCCGAACAGACACTTCTCCCAAGAAGACATACAAATGGCCAACAGACATGAAAAGATATTCAACTTCACGAGAAATTAGGGCAATGCAAATCAAAACCACAATGAGATACCACCTCATACCTGTTAGAATGGCTATCATCGACAGGACAAGTAATAACAACTGTTGGAGAGGTTATGAGGGAAAAAGTATCCCTCATATACTGCTGGCGGGAATTTAAATTGCTCCAGCCACTGTGGAAAATAGTACGAACATTCCTCAAAAAATTAAGAATAGAATTACCATGTTACCCAGCAATCCCTCTTCTGGGTAATTACCAGAAAAATTTGAAAACATTGATCGGTAAGGATATGTGCACCCCGATGTTCATTGCAGCTTGATTCATGGTGGCCAAGACATGGAAACATCTGAAGTGCCCTTCGATAGATGGCTAGGGAAAGGCGACATGGTACATGTATACACTGGACTATTACTCGGCCATGAGAAAAGATGGAATACTTCCATTTGCAACAACATGGATGGATCTTGACATAGTCGTTCTAAGTGAAATAAGTCAGAAGAAGTCGAGACCCATATCATTTCACTCGTGGGATATAAAACAAAGTAAGAAACAAACAAGATAAAAACTTGTAGACACAGACTACAGTATAGTGGTTACCAGAGGGAAATGGTGGGGGTGAGATAAAGTGTAAAAGGGGTCAAATTTATGGTAATAGAAGGACATTTAACATTGGTGAGCACCCAATACAATATACATATGTATTATTGAATTGTACACTTGAAATCTATATAATTTTATTAATCAGTGTCACCCCGATAAATTTAATAATAAATAAATAAATGAAGTTGAAAAAGATCTTTTACAAGCCTTAAGTTACATAATGCTTTTATGATTGTTTTGGTAGTTCTTAAAATTATTTCGTTTTTCTTTTAGATCTGGCAGAGGACGGAAATTAAGTGGAGACCAAATAACTTTGCCAACTACAGTTGATTATTCATCAGTTCCAAAACAGGTAATTTTTTTAAAGGTTAAATAAGTATTCCAGAACCATATTTTACAAACTGGATTGCTGACCATTAAGACGTCATGAAATTCATTTGGTAGTCAGGGTCTAGGCTTTTTTGTTACATATTTTTATAAAGTTCTTTATTTTTTCTATTTTTTGCTGAGATTTTCTGTTCTTTTTTTTTCTTTCTGGTTTAAAGAGTGTTTGCTATGGCTTGTTGGAGCATCTTTGTAATAATTATTAATGTCTTAGATAATTCTAACATTTATTATTTTATGATAATTATTAACGTCATAAATAATTCCAACAAGGCGTTGGAGTTGGCATCTATTGATTAACTTTTTCCATTTAAATTTAGATTTCTTCATTCCTTATGTGCTGAATAATTTCAGGTAGTTTCATGGACATTTTGAGTATGTTTGAGACTCTATCTTATTTAAATCCTATTAAGAATGTTTATTTTATCAGGCATCAGTGTTGTTAGGCTTAGGTTGCAGTGTCCAAACCTCCTTCTGTGGGCTATAGCTCTAATGTCATGTCACTTAAATTTTCAAAGCATTCGTTTGTTTTGTTTTGTTTTTTTGTTTTGGTTTGTTTTTAATGTATAGAACAGAATATCTAACTTATAATAAAATTTTTTTTTAACTTTTGATCTAATTTTGGTATGTGATATAAAATTTATACTTTCCTATTGGTCAAAAAAGTTTGAAAACTAATGTTTTAGAAAACCCATTTCTCTAAAACAATGAATAAGATGTTAATTCAGTTCTCCCTTTGTGGCTGACAATATTTATCAATTAAATTTAGACAGATGTTGAAGAGTGGACTTCCTGGGATGAAGATGCACCCACAAGTGTAAAGATCGAAGGAGGGAATGGGAATGTGGCAACACAACAAAATGCTTTGGAACAACTAGAACCTGACTATTTTAAGGACATGACACCAACTATAAGGAAAACTCAGAAAGTATGTTACAGATTTAAACTGTTAAACTGCTTTTTAGATTCTTGTAGCTAAAATTAGACAGTATAATCACTGTTTGTTAGAAATCCTATTTCTAATGATTAATTTGTCATGTTTTCATGTTAAAGATGTTTATATATTCAAGTGACCTAGACATAGATCTAGTAATTTGTACCCTTTTTAAAATTATATCTTAGTAATTATTGAAATTCTACTCTATGTCAGAGTCTAGACTCCAGTGTTCACCGTGAAGACTAAGCTGAATAAGATAAAGTTAGAACCTTAAAAGAACTCACAGTTTAGTGATGTCTGCAAACTGATAAGTGCTTTCCATTGTTTGTAACCATTATAAAACCTGATGCAAGCCTCTGAGAACTTATAGTAATTGTTATGAGTTTGTGTTAAGTCATCCACACTTTAATTCCTTTTGAGTTGAATACGGACGATCACTTAAAGATGCAAGGAATTATTGGAAAGAGAACAATGGCTGTGTATTTTTCTTTTTTTAATCAAACAATACATATTCTTTTAAAAAAAATTTTTTAATGATAAGGAGAACTTATAATGAATAGCAACAGACTTCTGCCCCATCACTCTGCATAGGCAGTTCTTCCCAGAAATAGCCACTAGTACCTTTTTCTGTTTGGACTTCTAGTGTTTTTCATCATATCTATATATAATATGCTTATATTGCTGTGTCTTGATTTGCCAATCACAGACATTGTCCATTAGCTTCATACTGTGATAAATGAGGGTTTATTTCATGCTACCCTTGCCCCTCTTCTCCCCTCTTTCAAATTCTGTTATCCCAATCTACCACATCAGTCACTCTGCTATTTTTAAAAAAACACAGTTAAAGTTCCATTTATTGTTCAGTCAAGCATAGAAAATATTTCTAATAAAACACTTTTTAAAATGACAATGTCGTCTACAGTTATGCCACCCTGAACAAGCCCAATCCCGTCTAATCTTGGAAGCTAAGCAGGGTCGGACCTGGTTAATACTTGGATGGGAGACTACCTAGGAAGACCAGGTGCTGCAGGTGTAAAAAATAAAAAATAAGGGATTGTAAGCTGACAAGGTCCTTGCAATCTGTGAGGTCAACCAAGGGTTGCCTCGCCTAAAAAAAAAATAATAATAAAAATAAAAATAAAATGAGGATGTTATTTGTTCCACACTTCTGTAATAGAGTTTCTCACCCTTTTCTACCTTTCATCTAGTTTCATCTGTACAATTATTTTTACATTTTCAAGGCTGATAACATTTACATTCTGTAACCATAATTGTTTTTGTTGAGTTGTCCAAATGTCTCAGTGCCAAAAAGCATTGTTGTATTTCTTTCAAGTTTAACTGAGTTCCTTAGTAGATGAATACTTTGCACTTTGGAAATACATTACTGCTCTTACTAGGAATCCGGTGTATTATAGAGTACCTTAATCAGTTAATGACAACGAAAAAATGCTTTTAAGCTACTAAGCTAATACTAATGGCTTGAAAGAGTTAATGTATTCATAGATATCCACATGCTTAAGAGCTAGTTATACTTTGGTAATTTACCTAATTACATTTTGGGGATCTGGGAAAAGTAGTGAAAGAGGAAGGAGGAAGAGGAAAATTTATTATTATTTTTTTTAAAAGTGAAATAAAGTTTTTCTTAGTATATAACTGATTTGTGTGACAATTGCCTGGGTGTTTTAGTACTTTCTACAGACTATTTTTAAAAATCTTTACATTTGTAAATTTTAAAAGAAGAAAGGTAGAGCACACTTGAAATAATTATACAATGCTTTATAGTCAGTTATTTTGTCTGTTTTTATATAGTGGTGTGTAAAATACTCATAATTTTATTTCCATTTCTCTTGCAGATCATTATTAAGAAGAGAGAACCATTAAATTTTGGCATTCCAGATGGTAGCACAGGTTTCTCTAGTAGGTTAGCAGCTACACAGGATATGCCTTTCATTCATCAGTCGGTAAGTATGTTAATGGTATCTAGGCATGGGTTGTTTTTGTTTCTGTTTTCTTTAAAGAAGAAGAAAAAAATTAAAATGAATTGAATATAACATCTGTATTTTTGTGACTTTGACATAGGTTTAACAGGATGAGAGAGGTTAATATGAAGTTTTACTAATCCTATCCTTTTATGAGATTATAAATTACATCAGACACCAATATCAGAGACCCCTTCTACACATAAAAGAGACAAAATGTTATTTAAAAATATGACCTTAAACGAGATTACCACTAATGTTTAACCTTATTTCCTTAGTAGATTATATTTACGTTTAAAACAAGATTTGACTTTAAATGGGTTTGACTTAAATGCAACACTTTTAAGGACAAAAGTAGTAAGGAAAGTATATAATTGGTTTTCAACCTTGGAAGTATATCAGAATCACCTTTGAACTTTTTAAAAATACCAATATCTGGAGCTCTTCCTAGACCTAAGTTTAAATATACTTTGATTGATTAATTATTGATTAGTAATTATAGATTATATGAGTCATTTATTGTATAAAAACCCTACACTTGGTGACTTAAAACAATAAACATTTTTTTATTTCATAGTTTCTGGATCAGGAATCCAAGAGTGACTTAACTGGGTGATTCTGGCTCAGGGTTTCTAATGAGTTTCCAGACAAGTTAATAGTCTGGGCTGTTGTCATCTAAAGGCTTGACTGGAATTGGAGGATTTATTTCAAAGGTAGCTCACTTGCCTGCCTGGTAAAACTGATGCTGATTGGTTGCACAAAGCCTCAGTTCCATGCCATGGACCTCTCCATAGTGTTGCTTGAGCTTTCTTATGGCATAACTGCTGACTTTCCCAGAACACATGATCCCTGAGAAAAAGAGAGAGAGCATGCAGGGGTCAAGCCACAATGCCTGTTTATGACTTAGTCTTACAGATACTGTCTCCTCTACATTAGTTTATTCAGTAGAAGCTAGTCACTAAATCCAGCCCACATGCAAGGAGAGACAAATGAAGCTCTGCCTCTTGAAGGAATTTGCATAGTTTTAAACCACCACATCTATCTGTCTTTCCATTTGTCTGTTAATAATTGTTTATTTAAGCTTCACAGGGGCTTCTGAGGCTCTTCTCTCCAGGATATGCATGTTTATATTTGTTTCTAATTCATTGATCAAAAACTATTCCTACTAATGCCAGATTCTGTTAGGTGCTTGTAATGTAATGGAAAGTAAGCAAAACAGGCAGGGTCCTTGTCTCAAAAGAATGCACTTTTTTTGTGAGGGAGACACAATATTAAATAAATGATCATACACATAAATATTACAAATTTTGATAACATGATGTTATGAGAACATAATAGCACCCTAAATATTTTTCTAAAAGAGTAGCATCAGAATGTGTAATTTTTAATTTTGTTTCTAAATTGTAAATATTACTCATATATGTATGTTCCATATTAGTAAAGTAGTTCAAACCTCCCCATTGAATTAGTATATGTATGCCACCTACTTATAATTAAGTTATTGTAACACTAATATAGTTAAATATAAAGCCATAATATATACATATCCACTTACAGAGTTGGGAAGGGGTAAATAGGGTAGATGGAGGTTTCCAATGCTTTTTCTACATAGTTTCCTCCCAAGCAGACAAAATAAAGGGGCGTGGCCTAGGAGAGAATGACAGTCCACTGCACTTTGTTCTCTACACCAAAAATATCACCCATTCCATAAGTTAGATTCTTCTTTTAAACTGCACTTACTACATTCTTTTTTCTGGAATTTATCATTTTTATTGTTGTGATAACTCTTTTTATGCTAAGGATGTAAACTTTTTTCTTTTGTCTTTTACTATTTTTCAGTTTGTTTTTGGCTTTATAATTTGGTTTGGGTGTTTTTAATGGGCAAATATATTTAGTTTTTATGTAGCAAATCTATCAGTCTTATCCTTTATGACTTTCCTTTTTTGTACTTAGAAGGGCATCTGTACTAAAGGATCAGATATCACTATATTTTATGGTGTTAGTAGTTTCAGTTTTTTATATCTAAATGTTTTATACGCTAAAAGTCAAACACTTCAGTGGAAAAATGAATAAATACGAAATAGATATAACTTAATAACATAAAGAAAAGTTTGATCTTATTAGTTCTCAAACAAATTCAAAGTAAAATAACAAGACACTATTTTTAAATCTTAACAAATTAGCAAAAATCGAAAAGAAGGCTATTACCAACATTGACAAAAGTACAAGGAAACAAGACTTCCTTCCACCTGCTTGCTGGAAGAAAAGTTGGTACAGCTTTTCAAGACAGTCATTTGTATTTTGTTTCAGTGGCTTTAAAAATCCTTTTTTTCTTTGATTTAGCAATTCTACTCTTTAGACATTTATATTAAAGAGATAATTAGAAATAATTTAAGTTTTTAACAGGATGGTACTACATTTATGATTAAGAGGAGAAAATTCAACATATTTTATTTTATTTTGTGTGTTAAGTGCTCAAAAGAATATAATCTATTCCGATTGGTGCCAGTTATTTTATTCACATATTCACTTCCATACCTAAACATTCCAGAATGAGCACTTTCATTGGTTTGTAGAAGAAAAAAAATGAACTTTTAGAGGTCTTGCCTGGGGAATGTAGTGGCCAGCCCTATGGTATCAGGTAAGCAGAACAGGCAAAAGCGGCACAATATAGAAGAAATACTTTGACAAAGCTTAAGTTTTGCTTGATTTGTCATTTTTGCCTGGGACCCAGATAGTAAGTGCCACTGAAAATCTACAAATGACTTATGCTGAAATGAAGATGGCTGTGCTAGTTGGGAAACCTCAGCCCTTCCAGTTCATCTCCCAGCAATGTAGTCAGTCAAGTGTCTTTCTCCCACCCTACCCCTTCCTAATCCTGGGAAGAGAGAGAAACAGAAAGAAGAAATGTTCCATTCTTGTCCAATTCAAACCAAGCAACAGAAAGAGAAGTTGATATAAAAGGGGTGTTCTATAAAACATAAAATTGGAAGAAAGCTGGACTTGCCCAGAATGGTTGAATACTGAAAGTCATGCAGGAAACCCCTCAGTTCCAGGCACACCAGGGGCCAAATCATTTGGGCCTTGTATAGGACACGGTGAGAAAGTGGAGAAGAGACAGGGGAGTGACAAGGTCAGAGTTACGTTTTAAAAGATACTCTTTTTGACTGCTGAGTGGAGAAAGGATGGCTCTTTACTATTGTGATTTTTTTTTTTTTTTAATTGTAGCCTGAATTAGGTGACTTAGATACCTGGCAGGAAAATACCAATGCGTGGGAAGAAGAAGAAGATGCGGCCTGGCAAGCAGAAGAAGTTCTGAGGTATTTGAATGATACACAGCAACCTGAGTAGAAGAGCTAGATTTGTTTGTGTTGCATTTAAGGTCAAGAAAGCTTGTTCTGCCAGTGTTGTTTTTTTTCTTCTTCCTCATTTGAACCTTAGATAATTAGGATTTTTTTTTTTTGGTATTTCAGACTACATGTACTATTTTATATGATTAAAACCTCATAGAAACCAAGAATGTAAAGCATTATAGAAACAAAAGAATAGTAACTTATTAATGGCAAATGAGATCTTTTACATATATATACCATTTTGCACTATATGCTTTATACTTCATTCCCTGCAAAATGTACTTATCTCTTGAAATGTCTTTCTATGAAATGTGAGCCACCACTATGTATTCCTCTAGGTCAGAAATTATATCTTTATTTTTGTTGCCCCATGGTCTAGCATAGTGCCCAGCCCTGCAAATTTGAGTGAAAATAACTTACAGAGCATTCTACATTTGTGCATGCATCTTAGTCGATGTACTTGAAAGCCCTGTTGAGGTAGTAACATAAGTCAGGTTCGACCCATTCTACAGAAAAAATATTATTCTGGAAGTTTTCTAGTTTGTTTTTGGTATGTTTTTTTTTCTTTTTTTTCTGAGCAATAAACAATTTTTGCTACTGTTGCATTAAGTCAAATAGTAAAAAGAAGATTTGCCTTAAGAGTTTGTGACTATCATTACCTATTAAAACTCATATTTTGATGTACCTAAATTACTTTTGCATTTTAATTTTTTAATTAAATTTATTGAGATGACATTGGTTAATAAAATGATAGAGGTTTCAAGTGTACAGTTTAATAATACATCATTCTGTATATGGCATTTTGTATTTACTACTCAAAGTCTAATCTCCTTCTGTCATTATATGTTTGACCCCCTTTACCCTTATCTACCTCCCCTTTTTCTCTGGCAACCGCTAAATATTTAAAAAAGATTGAGTACTGCCATTTGTAACAACATGAATGAATCTTGAGATAATCATGCTAAGTGAAATAAGTCAGGCAGAGAAAGTTGAAAATCACATATCACTTATATGTGGGATATAAAACTGAAAGCAACAAATGAACAAGACAAAAACTCATTGACTTGCATTTTTAAAGACGAAATCGTAAAATACAATGATACTAGGTGTTTTTATATTTTAAAAGATTGTTTTTATAATAGGAGTAGAAAATGAATTACCATTTATCTGACTTATCTTGCCAAAACAACTGAGTTTATTTTTATATTTTTCTTTCCTCTTTATCAATAAAGCATGATTGATTACCTTGAACAACCAGCAGAGGGTGCAGTTAAATAACTGGGAGTGATGGCTGACTTTCTTTTTTGGTCTTGTCCTTCCTGTTTTCAGTATTTTTCTTAAACAAGACGGGGTTATAATATTTTAAAAGTCAGTTTGTAAAGTTGTGATATTTTTAAATATCTAGTTCCTATTTAATCATTATTCACTATAAAAGAAATAATTTAAAAATTCTAAATGGCAACGTTTATGTTGTATAGGTCATTTGAAAAGATAAGTCATCTATTTTTTTACTCTATATTTTGATATATCATAGACATTGAAGACTGAGAATTTTAGAACATTTTAGAGATTCTAGTAATGATTTGTGTCATTAACCACAAGGATAAAGGAAAGGGCTGTCCGTCTTGAATCCAGCCATCATAATGATAGCACTATAGAATATACGAGTTCACAAGTATCTGTACATTTACTGTACTAAACCTTGTTTTCCACCCTATCCTTTTGTACTCTGAACAAAAGAAAACCAAAAACCCAAAGTTAATGTTTTATGTGACAGCTTGGGAGAGGGAGCCTATTAATAACAGACATGCTTCATGCTGCAGATTGCACAAGTAGAACCACACAGACATGGAGCGTCCACATATTGTTCCTGCCCCCAGAACACTTAGAATTTTAGAAGTGTATCTATACTCCATATCCTCTTAACTCAGCCCATTGCACTTGAAAATCCTACCACCGCTATGATCAGTATCGTTAAGGAAGAAGATTTTGGTACTTTAGTAATTCCAGGCATGTATCTGGACAGGGAAAATATGTTTTGTCTGCAGTAATCTCTCAGTTTCCTCTCGCACCAGCAACATTAATTGTCGATGTTTATATTTCAGCTAGTAACCAGGTCAGAGCTTGATTATCTTATTTGTAACCTAGCCAGCCTTTTATAATTCTTTTCCCATCTCCCTTCTTGCCACTGGCATTTTACTTTTTTAATGCAAATTATCAGTTTTGCTTGAAAGTGAGCAGAGTTAGTGAAAAATATTAAAATAGTATAAACTATTCTTTTGAAACTTTAGTTAATTGATGGTGATGGTCAAAATGTTGCCTAAAATAAGTCTCTCTACTTTGGAATTTTGGTCATTCATAACTTCTTATTCCCATTTATAAATATGATTGAGACTTGTACATACATTTCACTCACTATTGTCAGCTTCAATCTGTCCCATATGTAGATAATCCACACTAGATTTTCTGTGAATAAGCTAGTGTTGCCTCTGCCATGCCCAACTGTGACCCACAGCTTCCTTCTTCAGCTTTGCATGCTTCTTATTTTCTCATACCCCAAACCTTCAGATCCGGGGCCAACTTCTCTTCCTCTCCTTTGTCCTATTTCATCTCTCTACTCCCACTCCCCATACAAATCAGTCAGTAAAGACAGAGAGGTTTAGTGATTCTAGGGGTCAGTTGTGTTAGGGAGGGGCTAGGGAGCAGGTATTTCATAATATGTAATTAGTAAATACCCACCATTTGCCCCTTCATTAGTAGAGCTGGTCAAATGTTAATCCTTCAGTAGATTTCTAGCCTCTAGTTAGGGTCAGGAAATGTGGTCTTATCTTTGTACTTGGTCTTATGACTTTGGGCAAGTCACTTAGCCTTTGTACCTCATTTTACTTATTTGTAAAATAGAAATAATACCTCTGATTTTGCAAGTCATGTTCTAAGGATTAAAAGAAATACTGTTTTGGAAATTTTCAAAGCAGTATATAGAATGAAGATTTTTTACTTACCATAAACCATGGTAAAAAATGCATTGCTGTTTCTTTCTAGAATGTATTTGTCATTTTACCTGTGTGATATTTTTTTAAAGTAAAAATACGAATATGTTTCTTTTCAGGCAGCAGAAGCTAGCGGACAGAGAAAAGAGAGCTGCAGAACAACAAAGAAAGAAAATGGAAAAGGAAGCACAGCGGCTAATGAAGAAGGAACAAAACAAAATTGGTGTGAAACTTTCATAACAAATGTTCTTCACATACACTAGCTCCAGCAGGAGAATTATGAGCTCCACAACCCAAGCAACATTTGTTTGAGTCTAAGAGTATTTTCAGAATAAAAACACAATGCTTGATTTTAGTGCATTCATCGGGCCATTCAGGACACCAGGATTCTGTCAAAATACCTTGAACTTTTCTGACCGAGACTCAAAAGAACAGAAGAGACTTATGAGACAATATTTTCTTCAATGTGCTCCAATATAAGACAGTCGTTTGCTGTAGAGAAATTATTACGAATAGAATATACCAGTACCTCTTCAAGCTAGAGTTTCTAGCAGAATACATGGGTGTAAATAATTTTATGGTGGGAAAGAACCCTGCTGTCTATAATGCTTTCTTTCCTTCAATGTGCATAATGATAAAATAAATAATTTTAAGTATTCATTTGTTTCCATGATTACCTGACCTGAATCAGACAAATTTGCAGGGCTTTAACTTCATTTTTGTTGTCAGAAGCTGGTCTTGGCATACATTTCCTCTAACTTGAACTGTTATTGTTCATGTTCAATGCAACATTAAGGAATTCAGTGATTTTGATTTTCAAGAAGATGACAATGCAATAATTTTATTTATCATAAAGATTATGAACATCATTGTTTTGGAGGATTTATAATGTTATAAGTATTTGTAATTTATATTGCATGTATAAACATTGAAAATCAGATAAAATGGCAAATTTATTTTACGTTATTATAACTTGTGAGTTTTAAAAACTAGCATCAGTAGTTTTTCCCTTTCATTGTAGATTCTAAGATGTTACGGTCTCTTTAAGTATCTTACTTCCTCCTCCCCCAAAAGCCATTAATTTACAAGTACAGAAAGCCTTCAGTTGTGATATTTCAAAGATTTTAAATTATTTCTATATCAGTTTTATATATCAGACATAAAGTAGGTTATCTGTGTTAGCTAAGATAACAATATTGATTAAATTATAAACCAAGATAGGAATGATATTTTTATTTTTGAATGTCAACTAGCTCCAAAATGGTTTCAAGGAAGTAAAATGCATACTATGTTCATACGGAAAAATGTAGATTTAATAGTTTAAAATCTCATTATTTTTTTTCCACAATTAAAATACATCCAGCCTGATTTTCTATGGCTTTAGAATTTTTAAAGATTTTAACTTTTCTTAAAAATCACCCCAAATTAACATTTTGTGGGTTTTTCAAATGTTATAGCTACTCTACAGGCCAAATATCGCTAACCTATTTGAATTAAAGTGATATTTCACAATAAAACGACAAACTATACAATGAGAGCGCCCTAAGTTTAGCTTAAGCTTCCAGAATAAATGTGATTATAGAATCAGTTGAAATTTAACTTTGGTAGAAAGGCTGTTTTTATAGCCCCAAACCACATTTTCAGCTATCATGTTCATTAGAGTTTTTGCCAATAAACTCCCAATTAAATAGAATTAGACCCAAAATTTTAATATGTAAATGTACGTTCTCTTCCCTCATTTGTATTTATTTTTATTTATGAGAATACATGATTTTCTAAATTTAGTCGTGATTTTCATATGTGTGAGATTTTGGTTTTTGTTTGCTTTTTGCTTTTTGTTTATTTGGAAATAAAGACTGGTTAGAAATTATAGTTTGTATGATTAATTAGGAAGAAAGATTTTTCTCATGGATTTTTGCTTTTTTAACTTCTGTTGGCATGTAAACTAAGTTCCTGTATTAAATTGGGTATATTGTCCCAAAAGAAGTCATGGAGTTACATACATATGATAAACATTTCACAATAGCAAACTGGCTCTTTAGTTTCTAAATTTATGGTTTCTGGTTTTGTTTTCTTAATTTTAATTAAGAATTATCAGTTTTAGAAGCTTATTAGAAGTAAAAAAGAAATAAAGGCAAGCATAGATAAAGTGAAGTGCTACCCACGATCTGAATTGTGCATTGTATGTACTGAGATAACACGTGATCAGACATGTGAAACTTATTTTGTGTTTTTTATATATACATTCATGATTTTATTAAGCTTTAGCTAGGGATATCCTCTAGTTGACTCCTGGCTCTTTTTTTTTACCAGCATGTTTAATTGAGTGGACATTTTAGAACTGACAATTAAAATTTAACATCTAAATTCCTCACTTTTGACATGAACTCACCTCTGGCCAGGGCTGTGACTATTCCCGAATGAAGACTGCGATTGGAAAGAGGACGATAGCTACAGAAACTCGCATCCGGATGACGTTTTCAACAGCACTCCACAAGCTACCACTATAGTATAAATCTAACCATGGTCAATGTTACAAAAAGCCTTAAATTTATCAGTGATGTATTTAATAACGGGGTGGTTTGGGCCAGATATAATTAACACATTTTGTTTAATCCTACGTAGTTCAGCTTTGGGATGACATACTGTAATGGTTTTCACCCTCTTTAGCACCTTGTTCAAAGGGAACCTTTCATAAGGTATGAGGCAAATACAACAGTTACCAAGGTGAGTGGTTCTGGCTGATGCCAAACAGGGAGGAATGCTCTAGGGCCTGCAGATTGTTCCAGAAGAAAGCTGCTCTGCTCTCTTTCAAGTGAAGTAGGGAGCTGAAGAAGATGGTGGGTCCATGAGGAGCTTATTTTAGTAGCTAATAACTTGTTTTTACTATTTACATAGTTTTACTACTATTTATATATATTTATATAGATTTTTTAAATTTGAATTCCTCTTAATATCAAAGAGAGCTCTTTTTTTGTGTATAATTACTTTACTTTCCTTAAATACAACCAAGGCTGTTCCAATGTTATTGAATAGCTAGTGACTCCTTTTGTATTCAGCTGCTGTTGGTTGTTTTAACTTTGCTTCCTATCTTTTACCTTCAGTGCCCCTTAGGGCCATTGGCACACTTATTAACCAGAGTGTTTTGAGAGTAGTCAGGTGCTTCTTCACCAGAAGCTTCAATCCTCTAGAAAGACCAGTATTCTGGAAACCCCTCCTTTCTCCACCTCATGCAACATATGGATCCACAAACAGGAGTGTTCGCAGAGAATCGTTCCCTTCAGTCTGTGGCCGACCCAAGAAATCTTAGCCTTCCCTTCCAGGGAACCTCCATGGCTATTATTTATGCAGGTACTTTGCCTTTATATCGATCTGAGCATACCAATTTTTAGAGCTGCTCGGAGTTCTCAAAGCTGCTGCAGAGATGGTGTTAGTATTAAATTGCCTGAGTTTGCAAATGTTTTAAATGGAGATGGTTTTAAGGATTAACAGACTATGTAAGTGTTCAGTATAGTCCCTGGCACACTTATAAACACTCAACAAATAGTTGTTATAAGGCCCTGTACGTACTTATGTGATCCCGTACACAGATGGCAGCCCCGTCCCTGTGGATGGTGGGAGAAGCTAACTGACTTTGGAATAGTAATTTTTACACACCTTAAGTTGAACTGCAAGTTTAATAAAGTATTAACATTTATTATGAGTTCATTGTTGTCTGGAAGTCTTTATATCAATGACTCCTCAAAATCCAGTGAGGTGGACATTATCCCCATTTTACTTATAGGAAAACTAAAGCTTGAAATGGCACTTTGTGTACTAGATTAATGGGAAGGAAAATAGCAAGCACTGAGAGCAAGTTATATTAGTAATCAGCATTGTAGGTGGACTGATTTCTGAGTCCTCTCTTGAAACTATGAGCTGCCAAAGTGAGCCTTTAGAATTCTTTTTCTAGTTCTTTAAGAACTCAATGAAGATGATGGTACAAATTACAATAGATAATACCCGTTTGTGTTTTCTAAGACTTTATTTAATGAATATGAAGGAAATTAGATTGGTCTTTACTAAATAACAACTGTAGTTGAATGTCAACGCCATGTAATTACATATTGCCAGTTTACTTGGGTCAGGTAATCAAGGCAAAATGTGGTATATAGTCACCCATTTGTGCAGGCCATTTAGCTCACTTGGTTGGGTCATAATTCTAATGAGGCCAAGGTCACAGGTTTCATGCATGTGCAGACCAGGACTGTAAACGAGGCCTTCCTACCGCACACTGCCGCTGACCTTGTCCAGTTGTCTTAACATGTGTCCTTGGGATCTGATTTGAGAGAGTGATTGGCACAGGGAAAAAAATCATCTCATGCATAGGAAATGCAAAGGATGTGCTCTGAGTCAGTGGTATGTTGAGAGAAATTGTTACGGTTTCTTATTCTTAGGTCAATTTTGGCTCACTATAATAAGTATTCTTTCTGTAATTTGTTTCATTTGTTAAAATATTCAAACCTTAATTTGAATCCTTAATTTATACAGCATTGCACTTTCCAAATCTGTTGACTCTTTCTGAAGAAAATGAGTGTGTTTGTTTTACAGAGAAAAATATAACATCATTATTAGATATATTGGTCTCTGGAATAAATTTTTTAAAAAATTTCGACTTCGTATTTTTTTGTCATGGTAAGTGAAATAAGATGTGCATAAGACTATAGATATATTTCACTTGTCTCATTTACATTTAAAGTACACAGTGCTTTTTAGTCATTTTTGAAGCTCTGTGGCTCATTGGAACCTAATTGCCTTTCTATCTTGATTAGAAAGAAGCAGTACATCACCCATGTACTACCTGTGGAGTCATTTAAAAAATGTTTCCATGTACTGCTTTCAGTGGGAGATGTGAAAATTATTAAGACTGCTTTCATTTTCATTTTCTCTATACAACCAACAAGCCAGAAATAATATGCTCATTCAGAAGAATTAAAAGTCAGTTTAAAATGTCAGCATCTATTGTTTACTGTAGAAAGTGAAGCTGCCAGACCATTTCAAACACTGTGAACTATTTGATGGCAAAAAATGAGAGGGTAGTTCTTACTGTCCCATCAAACTCGAGAAATATTGCAGTCGTTAATAGTTTTCATATTCCATCCATTAGAGCTCTAGTCCAGCAAACACTTAATTTTTCAGTTATTCAAATAGCTTTGAACAGAAATGACACTTTCGGGGAACAGGAGTGAAGATAACCGTGAACTGGGTCGGACAGGATCACCATGGGGAGGAACTCCAGGTCCTCAAGGAGCAGAAGCCATGCCGCACATTCACAGCATTCCCTGGGAGAGCCTGGCCCGTGGGTTTTCCATCGTCATTTTACTTCACCATAATCCCAGATGCTACATGGCCTCTGTACTTGGAGTGCGAGATCCTCTTTAAGGTCAAACCAACAGAGCACTGGCAGAAATTTTTTTGGTAAAAGGTTAGAAAACATCTCCATTAAACCATTCATTTGGTTTTAGGATAGCAGAAGAGTGAGCCCTTTATCATTACCCAGGGCACTGTCTCTGAATGAACTGAGAGTTAGCATACAGGAGATCTTACATGAACTGGTAGTTTTCAAAGAATCTGGAATATAGTGAACTGTTTTTCAAGCTGTTCACAGGGAATGAGAGGGAAACAAATGACAGGGCTGGTGCCCCCTGTTCTCAAAACTCCACTTTTATATGTTTAATGTATTGGGTTTTTTGTATCGAAAAATTTTTTGAAAGAGATACGCCTTTTACAAAACTTTTACAAAATGCTACTGAAATATTCCAATTTTTTAACACAAACTCTTCTGAGTCGTGTTTGAAACTTTTCTGAATTTTAAAACTCTGTGGAATCACTGTTATAACCATTAGTTATCACTATCAGTAGTGATAGCAGAACATGTCTTCCAATGGATTAAAAATAATTACCTGATATAAATTTGTTTTATTCTATTTGGCCTAATTGTGTTCGGGACAATTGGGAGTTTGTTGACATTCTTTCAAGATATGGTTGCTATATACACTGCTTTAATTGCCTAGGTTACTGCTTCCTTGCACAACATTGCCTGGTAAGGCTGGGAATAAATGAATTTTGTGAAAGTGCTCACTGAGCCAAAATGGAAGTCAGAAACTACCCCAAGACTTGTAAAAGGAAAAATCCTCAAGAGAAAAACATATCAGACCCAACCACTACTTAGGCAGGGCCTGGGATAAATGCATATCACAGACTTCCTTTTTCTCCTGCCACAAATGTCAAGCCCTTGGCATCTGAATGAATTGCATTTTTCTCCGTTTCTGAACAGCTCAACCTGCAAAGGTCAGCATATCCCTCTGGGAATAATCTTTTCTTATAAATCGGAATGTTTGCACACATAACTGTAGGAAATGTTTAACATTTGCTTTGACGGGACAGCAATTTGTTCAATAGAGTGGAATTGTTCTCTTTTTTTCCATTTTCCTGCCTGTTTGTGCATCACAGGCACCCAAATTATGGAAAGCCACTCTGAGGAGCTGCTTTCTATGGAATCAGATCATCCTGTCCACAAAACAAGCCAACGCCTTGGGCTTCCGAAAGGCAAGCTATGTTCCATCTTTTATTTACTCCAAGGGACTCATTTGTGAGAGACTTTGTTCTGAATAAAAGCAGTAATTTTCCACAGACTCCGCATACTGAAATCTTGGACAAGGGTGGGGGAGGAGGAGGAAAAGTAAAACAGAGTAAGTGCTCTGGGATCTCCTGTTTTACCTCTGTACAAATTTGCAGTGTACAGTGTTTCAAATGAGTTAATTTTGAATCTTTCTGATGTAAAGAAGGATATACAGTTCATTGAGACAACAAAGCAATTTGCTATTTGCG